TAGAGTAGAGTAGAGTAGTTGGAAGAGATCTTGGAGGTCATTTAGTCCAACCCCCTGCACAGGCAGGAAACCCTATACAATTTCAGACAAATGGCTGTCCAGTCTCTTCTTAAAACTTCCAGTGTTGGAGCATTCACTGCTTCTGGAGGCAGGTAGTTCCACTGGTTAATTGTTCTCACTGTCAGGAAATTTCTCCTTAGTTCCAGGTTGCTTCTCTCCTTGATTAATTTCCACCCGTTGCTTCTTCTCCTGCCTTCAGGGGCTTTGGAGAATAGCTTGTTTCTCTGGGTTTGGCTTTGCTATGGATTTACTGTTCGTTATTATTATACTCGGAATTTTAATCCCACAGTGCTATACATCGGTGGAAAATATAGGTAGTCCTTGACCTACGACAAGAATTGAACCCAAAATTTTGAAAGGGAATTTTCAAAGAAAAACAAGAAAGACCAGTTGCCTGTGGGAAAAAAAGCACCTTTGGGACAACGATGACATGGATGACTGGGAATCTCCATCGACATTTAGCCATGCACTTTGGAATGAACCCCCCTTCGAAGGGTGCAGGAGCGTTAACGGATTTCCAGAAAACACGGCAGACTCCAGGAACCCTTTGCGCTTCAGTTGGAGATGCAGACAACACAGACTCATCCCCATCATCCTGCGCCCGTCTTCAACCGTGAAGGGACCCAGGGCAGAAAAACATCCTGCAGCCAAGAAGGCTCCACACCCATTTGCACCACTCAGGTGACCCTGAGGACACAGGTAAACCTCCAGGTGGCCTCAATGACTCTCTAAAAGAAGGCAAATGACCAGCTGTCTGCAAGGAGTATAAATCCTTCCCTTCCCCACCATCCAGTCAGAACCTGAAGAAGCTTCTTGGATGGGGAGTGAAATGTCTTCAATCTAATATGGGGAATGGGGAATATCATCACCATCCACCAGAAGATAAGACAAGAAGCAAAGGGTGGCAACTAATCAAGGAGAGAAGCAACCTAGAACTAAGGAGAAACTTCCTGACAGTGAAAACAATTAACCAGTGGAACAACCTGCCTCCAGAAGCGGTGGATGCTCCATCACTGGAGGTTTTTAAGAAGAGACTGGACAGCCGTTTGTCTAAGATGGTATAGGCTCATCTGCTTGAGCAGAGGGCTGGACTAGAAGACCTCCAGGGTCCCTTCCAGCTTCTATTCTATTCTTTCCACTCTCCCATGGAAAAAGAACACATTAAGACGACAGCTTAGTAATCGTCCTTCCTCATGAGCCTCACATGGTTAACCTGGGCTACTGAGAAGCTAAAATCCAATCCTTTTACTTCTAGCTTACTTTTAACATCCTCAGTGACAAAGGAGTTCTTGGCCATAAATTTGCAGATCAAAAAAAAAATATATCTGACATTCCCACTCATCCAAGCTCTGGCATTTTCAAAAATTATCCTTTGCAAGTTGGATGGTGTTAGTCCCTTGATTAAGTGGTGACCCCTCAAACTGTGTTATAGTGAAGATTTCCCTTCTGCTATTTTTAATCTTGGTTCAGCTAGGACAGCAAACCATGGTTTATGCTAGCAACCTAGGCCAGTTTGATCTAATGGTTAAGGCACCAAGTTAGAAGGCTGGAGACAGTGAGTTCTAGTCTTGCCTCAGTCATGAAACCAGACTGGGTGACTTTGGACCAATCACCAGGAGACAGTGAGTTCTAGTCCTGCCTTACACATAAAAGCCAACTGTGTGTCTTTGGGCCAATTGCCAGGAGACGGTGAGTTCTAGTCCTGCCTTAGCCATGAAAACGGACTGGGTGACTTTGGGTCAATTGCCAGGAGACGGTGAGTTCTAGTCCTGCCTTAGCCATGAAAACGGACTGGGTGACTTTGGGCCAATCGCCAGGAGATGGTGAGTTCTAGGCCTGCCTTAGCCATGAAAACGGACTGGGTGATTTTGGGTCAATCGCCAGGAGACAGTGAGTTCTAGTCCCGCCTTAGCCATGAAAATGGACTGGTTGACTTTGGGCCAATCGCCAGGAGACGGTGAGTTCTAGTCCCGCCTTAGCCATGAAAACGGACTGGTTGACTTTGGGCCAATCACCCCGAGACGGTGAGTTCTAGTCCTGCCTTAGCCATGAAAACGGACTGGGTGACTTTCGGCCAGTTCCTCTCTCTCAGCCCACCTCACAGGATTGTTGTGGGGAGAAGAAGAGAAGGAAGGAGTGTGGGATATATTCAGCGTCTTGACTTATTTGCAAAACTAATAAAGGCAGGATACAAATAAATAAACCAGCCTAGGCACTCCGCTGCGTTCCAGACAGAAACTATCAAGATTGTCATTATTCTCCACTATCGGACCTTCTCCACAAATTCTAGCTTGACTTTTTGAGGGGGTTAAACTAGTTAGTTTCAATTGATGGCTGAAGTAATTAAGTGAAATCACACTTTTTTTCAATTATGATGGCTTCACGCATTGTCCTCGGGCCTTTTGCGGGGGGGGGGACTGCCTGTTTTTCATTAACTACTATGTGTAAGCCCAAATGTTTATCCTTTTTTTTTTTCTTTCTCCTTTTTTGGCAAAAGTGGAGTTGTGGGCACACAAAGAGATGCCCACCAGCCGTCGCAAATTGCACAACCTAAACGAAAATTTCCTTCACGCGTTTTTCTCTCTTCCCAAACATCAGAACAAGATTTATTTATTTTCTTTCTTTCTGGCATATCCAATCTTCCTCTTTTTACACCCACATCAGATCCACCCAACCCTTCCTATGTTTGGCATGTGGGAATGGAATTTGCATCAAAATTTCGGTCAGGGCTGCATAGACTAAAATATTTGGCAGGCGAGGCTGCATCTAAAAAAAAAAACCAAAACAGATAAATTAACGGGGATCTAATCAAAGGTCCAGCTACATGCGTATCTACCAAAAAGAAATACGAGTGTGAATTATTTCAGCAGCCATGTCTAACTTATCGTTCAGAGATTTGGGACATAACCCATAATTCAAGATTGTGTGTCTAGAAGTCATCCCGTGCCACTCTAGGTTGTATGGCAGATGAGAAAGTTATAAGACTCTTTAAAGACCATCAGTATTGTTGTTTACTATTTGCTCGTTAACAGAAAATCGACTTTCGTCTCCTTTTTAATTCCCTGTTTTGTCAACATAGACAGGCTGAGTTTAAGACTGGTGTCTGGCTTGGGAATTCTGGGAGTTGAAGTCCACCCATCTTAAAAGTGGCCAAGATTGAGAAACACTAGTTTACAGAGAGGCTGGGGAATTCTGGGAGTTGAAGTCCACCCATCTTAAAAGTTATCAAAGCTGAGAAACACTGGTTTACAGAGAGACCAGGATTGCCTGAACAAACCAGGTTTGATTTCTCATTGGCAAAGGAACCCCGCCTTTGAAAATGGCACACAGGAGCATGATTTAAATATTGAATTGTAACACCAAGGATGACACCAATCAGCATGTTGTGCATGCTAGGTCTGCAACCTAGTTAAGCAGGCTGTGTGATCTCTGCCAGCCGCTCCGAATCTCAGCTTAATAGATGAAGGTCTGGGGTTGTTGTTTGTGGCCCGTTTTGTGAGATCTTGGTGGTGTCAAAGGTTATTTTAATCAGAGCTGTCCATTTGGTTTGATCCTTTATCTGCTTTTATGGATTCTGCAATTTCGCAGGCTATCCAATGTCTATTGGAGTTGGGTGGCTAGTAAAGTCAGATAGATAAATAAATGCGTTTTTGTACCCATGGCTGAATAACAGGAGACAGACCTTCTGTACATGGTCCAGAATCCTCCTTCCCTGTCTATTAGTTTTCACTTCTACTAGTCCATTTTAGGATGACTCCAAGCCAGGGTCAGAAGGCCGAAGAAGCAGAGGCAAAATAAGGACTTAGCTTGCTTATTATTAAGGTTAGTTGCACAGTCAATCAGATGTTATTAATTTTTGCTTCTCTCCTTCTTGCAAACTTCTTTGTATTGCTTTTAGTCCCAGCACCCTATAGTTGTTGAGAAGGAAGGAAAGAAGGAAGGAAGGAAGGAAGGAAGGAAGGGAAGAGGGAGGTGAAATAGCGACAGAGAAAAAACGGGAGAGAAAAAGAGAAAGAAAAAGTGAGTAAAAAAAGAGAGAGAGGAGAAATCTAAGAGAAAGGGAGAGAAAGAGAGAGAGAATGGGAATGAGTGGAGGAGAAACAGAGACAGAGAAAACAGAGAGAGAAAAGAAAGATAAAAAGAGAATGAGAGACAGGGAAAAAGAGGGAAGGAGAAATAGAAACAAAAAAGGAGGAGAAAAGGAGGGAGGGAGGGAGGAAGGAAGGAAGGGGAGAGGAGGGAGGTGAAATAGCGACAGAGAAAAAAGGGAGAGAAAAAAGAGAAAGAAAAAGACAAAAAAGAAAAAGAGAGAGAGGAGAAATCTAAGAGAAAGGGAGAGAAAGGGAGAGAGAATGGGAACGAGTGGAGGAGAAACAGAGACAGAGAAAACAGAGAGAGAAAAGAAAGATAAACGAGAGAAAGAGAATGAGAGAGAGGGAAAAAGAGGGAAGGAGAAACAGAAACCAAGAAAAAGGGGAGAGAGAAAAGGGGAGGGAAGTAAATAAGTAAGTAAGTAAGTAAGTAAGAAAGAGGGAGGGAGGGAGGTAGGGAGGGGAGGAAGGAAGGAAGGAAGGAAGGAAGGAAGGAAGGAAAGAAAGAAAGAATGAAAGAAAGAAAGAAAGAAAGAAAGAACGAACCAAATGCCCAGCCTATAGGCAACTCCGGGAGCGAGGGGGGGGGGCTTATTCTAAGAACCAAGCGCAGGACTCCAATTCCAGAGCTCCAGGTTCAAATCCCACCAAGCCACCCAACTCCTCGCCCTTGTAAGAGGGAGCTCGGAGCCAATTCCTCTTCCAGCCCCTCCCTCCTTCCCTCCTTCCCTCCCTCCCTCGCAGGGCTGTCGTTTTTTAGCAAACGGATCCCCCTCCGGCCCTTCCAGCTGCCGAACCCGTCCCCCGTCCTCAAGAGCCCCCCCAGAGCGGGAGGGGGGCGCAACTCACCCCTTTGCGCTGGTTGCTGAGGCAGAAGGTGCAGATGCTGCGGGGCGGTCCGGCGGCGCCTCCTCCTTCGCCCTTGGCCCCGCAGAGGGCGCGGAAGCAGGGCTGGCCGTCCGGGCCTCCCTCGCCCAGGAGCAGCACGTTGGCCAGGTGGGAGATGTAGCTGGAGGCCAGGCGGAGCGTCTCGATCTTGGAGAGCTTGCGGTCCACCGGCTCGGTGGGGATCAGGGTGCGCAGGGCGGTGAAGGCCGTGTTGACGCTCTGCGTCCGGTCGCGCTCGCGGGCGTTGGCCGCCTGCCGCTGCTTCACCACCACCACCGGCCCGCGCCCGCCCGGGACCCGGCCCTCGCAGCAGCCGTACGAGCGCTCCGAGGCGTCGCTCTCGCTCCGGGTCTCCTCCTCCTCCTCCTCCGACAGCAGGCGCAGCTCCGGGTACAGCACGTGCGCGGCCACCGGGCCCAGCACGGTGAAGGCCATGGCTGAGCCTCCCCGCTACTCCCCACACACAAAAACCGGGGGGCGCGTCGGGGACCCCGGCAGGACGGGAGCGGACGGAGCGCCACCGAGCGCGGCTCCCACCCCCCGCGCGCGCCGAGCCGGCTGTGCAGGAGCCCGCCGACCCGCTGGGTATTTAAGGCGCTGGGCGGGGCCGAGCGCCCGGGCCGGCATCTTTAGCGACCAATCGGCAGCTCCGGCATCCTCCCGGCTGGCCAATCGGGCGGCCACGCTGCGCCGGTCTCCGAAATTGAAAAAGCTTCGCTTGCCGAAAAGTCCCAACCGAGCGCTAGGGCGCTCGGGCTGCGCACGTGGCGGGGCCGCTTTTGACAGGCCGCCCCGGGCGAGACGCCTGGCAGGGAGGAATAGGATGGGACGGGATGGGATAGGAAAGGATAGGATAAAATACAGAATACAGAATGGAATGGAATGGAATAGCATAGAATAGGACAGAACAGAATCGAATAGAATTAACAGATTGTAGATAGACTAGACTAGACTAGACTAGACTAGACTAGACTAGACTAGACTAGACTAGACTAGACAATAGAATAGAATAGAATAGAATAGAATAGAATAGAATAGAATAGAATAGAATAGAATAAACAGATTGTAGATAGAATTGAATGAAATGGAATGGAACGGAATAGAATAGAACAGAATTAACAGATTGTAGATAGAACAGAATGGAATGGAATACAGAATACAGAATAGAATAGAGAATAGAGAATAGAATAGAATAGAATAGAATAGAATAGAATAGAATAGAATAGAAATAGATTGTAGATAGAATGGAATGGAATGGAACGGAACGGAACGGAACTGAATAGAATAGAATTAACAGATTGTAGATAGAACAGAATGGAATGGAATACAGAATACAGAATAGAATAGAATAGAATAGAATAGAATAGAATAGAATAGAATAGAATAGAATACAGAATACAGAATAGAATAGGTTCTCCTACTTGAGCACGGGGCTGGACTAGAAGACCTTCAAGATCCCTTCTAACTCTCTTCTCTTCTATTCTCTTCTATTCTATTCTAAACTCACTTAATGGCGGTTTTGCTTAGCAACAGAAATTTTGGGCTCAGCTGTGCTCATAAGTCAAGGATGGCCTGTATTTTATGCAGTAAAAGTACACATATATCCCAACATCCCCTACATACTCAAATAGTGAATTTATTTGTAAAATTGATTAGACATCCATCTTGCCCCCCCCCCAGAGACCTGGGATTTCACAGAAGGTTCCCCAAATTTAACCAATCGGGAGGGTGAGGCCCAACCCAACCCTCCTCCTCTCTTTCATTCCCAGCCTCTTCCTTCCTGTTTCCTAAATTCTTCCTTGGCCTTCTCAGCCAGCCAATTTCCCGCAGACCATTCCCCGACTTTGGTGGCCCCCCAACTCTGGCCCAGTTGTGGTGTCCCCTAATCTCAGTTACCGACCCCCTTAGCACAGGGCTTTTCAACCAGTGGTACGGGTACCACCTGTGGTACATTGGCACCTGGCAGGTGGGACGCGACCATCCTAGAAAAGGGGTAGCGGGGGAGGGGAATGAGCTGAACCGGTGGCAGCACCGCACAAGCCTGAGCGAGAGACGGCTGGAGCTGCAGGGCTGTCAGGGCTCAGCGGAAGCGCCAGGATCAGCGCTTCTTCGGGGCTGTCAGGGCTCAGCGGAAGCACCAGGATCAGTGCTGCTTTCCAGCTGATCGATGCTTCTTCGGGGCTGTCAGGGTTCAGTGGAAGTGCCAGGATCAGCGCCAGGCTCCAGCTGGAAAGCAGCACTGATCCTGGCGCTTCCGCTGAGCCCAGAAGAAGCGCCAATCAGCTGGAATGTTGTCTTATCTCCAGGGTCTTGTGATTTACATTCAGATGCTTGGCAACTGATTCATATTTATGATGGTCACAGTGTCCCAGGGTCATGTGAAGTGACCAAAACCTGCTGCAACCACCCAGCAGATGGGGGGAATAAAAACCAAACACCCCCCCCACCCCCGCTGCCAATCCTCAACAGAAATGCTCACAACAATGAAAACCTCGGACAGGAGGAAGAGCGCAGCCAGGCGGGCAGGCAGGTGTCTTGCTCGGCTGTGGCTTGGGGGGCACTTTTTTCAGTGCCACTGTAACTTCGAACAGTCACTAAGCGAACTGTTATAAGTCGAGGACTACCTGTACTTTATCACTTTTTTTCCTTTTTTTTTTGGGTCATCAAGTTTTTGACACCTTGCTAGGCGACTGGTGGTCCTCGGATGTTGCCCTATCCTAAAAGTGGTACAATGGGTGAAAAGGTTGAAAAGCCCTGCCTTAGCAGAAGGAAGCCCCAAGGTGATTTTGCTGTGTTTTCCTTGGCTGGCTGCCTCCTTGCCGAAGGCTCATCTCCCCGGGGTTGGGGGAGAGAACCGGTGAAGGCTGCGGAGGTGAGAAGGGAGAGCAGAAGGAAATTTCTGCTCCGGCAGAGACGCAGACAGGAAAGGAAACCTCAGGGCAATAACTCATCCGTGTCAGGAAGCCAGAAGGGGGCAAACCCCCCCCCC